TAAATTTAAATGGCTGCTGCGCTGAGCCGACAAACAGCTGATCATCTGTTTGTTGGCTCAGCGCGCTAGTCTGGACGCTCCTGTGCCGACCTGAAAGCCCTTTATCGATCTCCCTGTTATTCCTCGTAGGATGAGGTTTACCGGGGAGGTCGATAAAGGGCTTTCTTGTCGGCAGGGGAGCGTCCAGACTGCCCTGATCTGTCGACAAACAGCTGATCAGCAGAGCAGGGCAGCCATTTAAATTTAAATGAAGCCGCGATTATTTAAATCGCAGCTTCATTTCCCTTTGCTGAACAAACAAACCTACATGGCTCCATTGACGGAGCCATGTAGTCTAGACGTACCCTAAGATCCCTCTCTTGAGTGGTTATGGATAAATTAATCTCCATTATTTTTTGTATCTAGCTGGGATCGTTTTTTTCTAATGTCCATTAAAATTCATTTGCCATTTTGTTGCCCAATCACCTGGTTTTGTGAGATTTGTTTGAAGATCTTCACAGTCTGCTTTGTTCTTAACTACCTTGAGCAGTTTAGTATCATCTGCAATTGTTGTCACTTCATTGTTTACCCCTTTCTCCAGATCATTTATAAATAGGAATATGAATAAGATTGGTCCCAGGACAGACCCTTGGGGGACACCACTGGTTACCTCTCTCCATTCTGAAAACTGGCCATTTATTCCTACCCTTTGTTTCTTTTAATCAGTTGTCAATTCATGAGAGGATCTTCCCTCTTATCCCATGACAGCTCACTTTGCAAGAGCCTTTGATAAGGGACCTTGTCACAGGCTTTCTGGAAATCTAAGTACATTATAGCCACTGTATCCCCCTTGTCTCCGTGTTTGTCCACATTAAAGCCAGATGAGCCTTTGTGACAATCTAGTCAGATTAGAAACCTGCCCTACGGAATTCCAGACTAGAGCTGTTAGGAAAAACGTCCCTTCTCGATTTCAGAATTGCCACAGGTGGAGAACCCGCCACCACCCTTAGGGATGGGTCCCATGATCAATGCCCCTCACTGGTAAAAATTGATGCTTTATTTGCAACCTGTCTAGTTCCATCTTACAGCCCTCGGATTGGCTTAGCCCTTCCTCTGCTGTTCTGAAGACCCCGTTATTAAATATTTGATCCCCATATGGGTTCTCACTCCCTGTGATCAAGTCTCCACTTTACCGTCTCCTTGGTAAGCTCACTAGACCGAGCTCCTGGAGTCTCTCATGCGAAGGCAGGTTTCTAAGCACCCCACGATGTGGCGACGCCTGAGACCCTTGGAATCCTGAACAGGGATACCCCACCCGGGGCAGGAGCCAGGCTGGCAGGCCCCACGCAGGAGCCCTGTTAGCATCTGAGAGAGCCGTGTGGCTGTGAGCCAGGACCCCGTTCTGAGCCAGTTCTCTTCCCAGACTGGGGCGGGCAGGGTGGAAAGAAGCTCGACTGCAGAAGGGCGGGTGAGGAGATGAGTGTCCCTCCTCGCTGCCCCTCTCTGGCTAAGGAACAAATGGCGTGCTGGCCCCCGAAGGGCAGGGGAGTCCTTGCCCTCGCCCCATAGGCTGGGGGCCTGGGATGTGAGCATGGGAGAACGGACAGGGATCCTCAGGCTCTCAGGGGGAGATGACATTTTCTTTCCTGTGTTCCCGCATGTCTGGCTGATTTTCACTGTGTTTCTACCCCTCCCTCCCCCGACCCCCCACGAAGAGGTGGACGTGAAGGTGGACGTGAAGCTGCAGGTCACCAGCCACAAATTCACCTCCGCACTGGCCAACAGCACAACTCAAGAGTATAAAGAGTTCACCGCCTCATTCAAACTGCAGGTGGGACCTGGAGGAGAGGTTGGGAAGGGAGGGGTGTGGGCGAGGCTCCCAGAGAAGGCTGATGAGGCAGATGGTCGGGGGATACAGGGGAGCTTCCCAAGAGATTCAGGGATGGTCCCATAGAAAGGGCAGGAAGTAGGAACAGGGCTTTCCCAGCCTGCCAGAGGGGAATAGTCCCAGGGCTGTGTGCTGATATCCTGGTGGCAGCCAGGTGGGACCAGGTTGGCTGCTTCGGTGCCTTGTCTGGGCACCTCACCAGTCCCCGGGGCTGTCAGAACCCATCTCAGTGGGGTGGGGTGGAGGTTCAGGGCAGCCCCTGCCAGTGACATGTGCCTTTTCCCTTCCAGATGAAGGTGGTTTACCTCAATGTCCAGGGGTACAAAGACGTGGTAATCTTGAAGCTGACGTGAGTATTGGGAATGCCCCAGAACTTGGTACCCCCAAAACTCCGCCTGCAACTTGAGCTTTGCTGCAGGCCACACCCCACTCCTGGGAGACTGTCTGCAGCTGGGGTGGGGTGTTTTGGTGGCCTGCTTGGCTCTTTGGCACCAGCAGTTTGCCAAGCACGGAGCCGTTCTGGGCCATGTCTCTCAGGAGGAGACATTGTCAGGTCTGTTCTTGGTGCCGTCCTGTTTCTCCATCAAGGGAAAAAAGCCCGGCCAGTCCAGCTTCCCTAAAAGCAGTAACAACGGGCAGTTGCAGGTATTTCCCTTGCTCAGAAATCCCCATGTCTGCTTGCCCCACGGGCTCTGTGCCCAGACAGTATCTTCTCTCCCTTCTTCTCAGGGCCACACTCCTCATGCCTGCTTCTCCTGGCTCTGCTGCCTCCGGCACCCATCACCAACATGTCAATAGCTTAGTTCTTGCCTTTGCAGCCAGGGGAGCCTCTGCCCCCTCAGCCCACACAGCTTCGAAGTGGTATGCTTTGGGCAGAGCCTCCCTTGCTGAATGCGCCTTCTGCCCCCTCAGCCCACACAGCTTCGAAGTGGTAGGCTTTGGGCAGAGCCTCCCTTGCTGAAAGCGGGAAGGTGAGGCGTGTGGCTGCCCAAATCCCACTTCTGCTGCCATTGGCTGCAATTCTGGGAATCTGCATTTCCAAAAGGAAATTGACCAATTGCACAGGGTGAAGAGAAGAGCCACTAAAGTGATTTTAGAGGCCAGAGAAAATGCTTGGCCCTGTGAGAGACCTGGAGCTTGTGCTGTTTAGTACGTCAGTAAGACGAGCCAGGGGCACGTAGCCAGCACACTTAGGAAGTAGCTAAGTGCCTCCATGGGGAATAGACTCTGGGCAGTAGGGGGCTCTGTAAGTTCATGACAAAAGACAGGGCCAGAATCAAGTTAAAGCCCAATAAATGTAACTTAGAAATAGGGCAAATGGTTTTCCAAGTGACAGTGGATTCACAGGCGCTGACTTTTGTTTTTGTTGTTGGGTGCTTGTGGAGGGGGCCCAGAAAGACACGGGGTGAGGGTGGGACCTATTGGAAAGAGGCAGCAGACAGGATGGGAAGAGGTGGGGTGGGGGTGAGGCCTCATGGAAAGAGGCAGAGCAGGGGTGGGAGCAGGTGGGGCGAGGGTCAGGCCTCACGGGAAGAGACAGGGCAGGGATGGGAAGAGGTGGGGTGAGGGCGGGGCCTCAGGGGAAGAGGCGGAGCCAAGATGGGAAGAGGTGGGGCGAGGGCGGGGCCTCAGGGCAGAGGGCAGGCAAGGTCACAGTTCTAAGGCATCAGCGGCTCCCATTTTTGGGAGCTTGCCCCAGAGATGCGATTGTCCCAGGAAGCCGACACACTAACCCATGCTGGGTTTGTTTCCACAGGCAGGGCAGCGTCGTGGTGGATCACTACGTGCTCCTGGCCTTACCTGTAACTGAGGAACTCAACACAAAGTTTGCAGAAGTGACTAAGCAGGTGGAGAAAAAAATAGAGGAGGCAGCTCAGAACCAGAACTGCAACAGCAACAACAACTCGTGTGAGTCTCTGGGTGTGAGGGTGTGTAGTCGGCTTGCCTGCCCAGAGGGGTTCCTCCTCCTCCGGGTCAGTGGGCAGCCACTCCACCCCCCT